AGCACACACACACACACATATTCATTTGTGTAATATAATTTGTCCGAGTCTGTGCAGGAGGCAGTATATTAAGTTTGACTGACACTTCGGGCAGCCAATGGAATTCCGTTTTTGTACGTACGGCGATTTTTTTTTTTTAACCCATTTTTCAATGGTTGTTTGAACTTTATGCGTTCATCATGTGTCGGACATTAAAATGACATCAGTGCACGTAAATAATCGGTTGATGGACGAGAAGCATTTGTAACACGTACTACGCGAGCGCACACATTTTCTCCCACGTCACACACATCACTCTAGCAAGTGTCGTTCCACGTGAAGTTAAAGCTAACGTTAGCAAGTTAGCAAACTAAGTACAGTACACTACATGCTAAATGTCTGTTTTAGACATGTCCGTGTTTTGGTCCAAAATACAGAGTGCAAAACGGGGGGGTTGTGCATGAAGTACTTACGAGGGTGCCAGTATCGCACAGTGAGTATGTTTAATGTGATTACTGCTGCTATTTGATTTAATCTTACAGTCTGATGAGTTCAGAAGTGACACGGAAGTCTTCATTTCTTTCGCTCATTAGGGGGATGGCCAACTTTGGCACATATTTTAAAATGTATTATTATTATTGTTGCGGTTTTTGCTTATAGCCTCCTTGTAACTTCCCCAAGGGAAAATTGAATGCACCCCACATGCAAGGTTAGATGTCAGCATGAAAAGGGCATGCAAACAGTGTGGCATCTCTTGAGCCAGGTGCGTGGGATAGGTGCCTTGCTCAAGGGCACCTCTACAGCAGTCAGGAAGTACATAAGAATCTTCCTCATATCTTGGTGCAGACGATGGTGCATGCATTCTCCAGATATTGAGTCTGTTGGGTTACTTGGTTCTTGCACTGTTTTCTTTGGTGCAGCTGGACCCATATCCATCTATGGGCACACACACACACACACGCACACGCACAGAGCTGCTCCATAGATAATGACAGACGTTCATCTCTAAATACCAGGCTTGAAATAGGCTGCCCTGTTTATAGCTGCGCAACGATCACCCAGACCGAGGACTTTTCTCTGTGGTGTGAATAAGTGAGCAGTAAAACATGTCTCTGTATCAGAAGGGTAAAAAAACAGACGTTCTCGGGCTTTGAGGATAATTTCAGGGATGGAGAATGAAATTATACAGTCGACAGTGAGTGGTTCAGGGTGGAGCCTTCGATGAAAATAATGTTTTACATTTCGAGCCAGTTACTCTGACCGCTGTCTCTTTTTCACTTTAGCCACGAACGTGAAATCTACCCCATTTCCAAAAGGAAATTTTGAAAAGATCCCCTTTGCCAAGGATCAAGATGGACTTAAAAGACCTCAAGGAGTTCGGTCTCACGAAGGTTATGCAAAAGCTGCAAGGGCTGCCACAAGCCAATCCACTAGAAATTGGGGCCTTTTGCGTGATCGTCCTCTTTGTCAGTAAGTCCTTTTTTTTTTTAAGCGTGACTGCATGAATTCTATGACTTCTGCATCTCCTTAAAAAATTGCCTTTCTCTCTCTTTTTTTTTTTTTTTGCAGCCACATTCTTTACCATGATGATCGTTTCTTGCCTCCACTGCTGCTGTTGTGTGGACACAAAGTATCAGGCCTCCAGAGTGGAACCGCTGCAGCCCATTTGAAGATGTTAAAAAAAAAAAAAAAAATTGGAGCTTTAAATGAATGAAGCATTATGCTCCATATTAACATGGGGAGGGGGGATATTGAAGGTTGGTTTTTTTGTAGGATTACCATCAGAGTGTGTTTCAGTCACTTAGAGGAGTGAATCTGAATCAGAAAATTCTAACTGTGTCACAACTCCTTGGTCAAAAATAAGGAAGCAGATGAGTCCTCCCTAAATTCTTACTGTTATTATTCATCAAGAAAGGAGACCACACCACAGAATTATTGCTTGCTTCATGTATGTTGTACTTTCATATTTTTATGTAAAGTTCAATTTGAATACTTAACACTTTTCCGGTAATTGTGTACAAAACTTATGTTGTTGAACAATGTCTTTTGGATAATGTCACAGTTTATGTCCATAGATACGGCTTGAAGGAATTGATAAAAAAATTTGTTGGAGTTTTAACAATTGGCTGAATTGGGGAGATGTGTAAGTTGCAGTAGGATCCATACAATATTTAAATACTCCTACTCAGGTACATTTTTTGAACTACGATTAGCCTTTTTGTTATTCTGTGTTATGCACCATATTGCACATGACATCCCGATGCGAGAAATGTCACAAACACGAAACTTATTCTTGTATTTTACAAGAGCATATCAGTATATAAGGATGAATGAGTGTGAGTGAATTATTTTCTATAAATAAACGATGTTGAAAATCACAATACGAGTATTGCACAACTGCATGTATAATTCTCCTAATCTTGGTGGCTGGCCTCTAGAATGTGAAAACAATACAGGCACAAAAAGATATACAGTACACAGAAGATTACATTTTCCATCTCACCTGAAAGCGAAATATCCCGAACTCTTTATGAGCAGTGTATTTGTCTACATTTTGTAAGACTGCTAAATGCGGAATGCTTAACTGTAAGGCGTTCCTGGTCGCAAAATCTATTAAAACACGTTTTGTTTTAAAAGTGTAAAGCGAGGAAAAGTGGTGCGTAGCATAGCAACAGTGCCCTCTCGTGGTCAAGTACTGAGACTGCGCGAGATTGCTCGTTGTGTACTCAACTGAATTGTCCAGCCAGGTTTTTGGGTTATATTTAAATGTGCAATGTTCAATATTAAAAAAACATTTTAATTGACTGAATATAGTCAACGTGGATTCAGTAAGACATGGCCATGCCATAGACGGAGTTTATTATCAGCTTCCTCTTTTGAGTTCACGTCAATATTTTGTGTAAACATTAACCCGTGTTGCTTTTGCGTCACACAAGAGCGTACGTTGGAAAGGCTTGAGGCCTAGATTTGCTCTCTGCGTAGGCTACACGCTTGTTTAGGAAACCGTCACATTTTGTCGACATTCAGATAGTTTTAGAGCTTCTGCTGCTGCTGCTGTTGGATGAAGAGGCATCCCTGTCTAAACTCCCCATTGACATAAGCTATGGTCACACTTTGTTCAAACTCACTGAGCTGTGAGAGAACCATTTAGTAGGACATGGCTGTGGAGAGGTGAGTTTTTGAAGTGCAATGTTTTTGATGACAATAGTTTTCGGCATCAGCAGCTTTAAAAGTATTTCAATGTCTAATTCCTAGGGCAGAAGGTTACCATTTATAAGTGGCAACTAACGTTCTGTATATACAGTACAGTATGCGCTTATCTCAACCGACACAGATTCTTGTTCAACTGATGCTTTATCACTTTGTGCAGCGTACCAGGACAGCAGAAACCCGACGACTGGATAGGATGGTTCCTCTTTCGTTTGCATCAAGAGCCATGGGCGCTGGGGGGTTTCGTGGTCATGGTGGTGTTTGTACTGGGAGCACTATCGCTGATTGTCTTTGCTCTGCTGTACGAATGCTGCTGTAACCCAGCGGCAGGGGAGGGGACTCTGAAGAAGAAGAATCACCTGCAGAAGCAGAGAAAGCTGAAGTATGGCGTGATCTAGACATCAAAGAACTATTTGGAGGAATGTGGTGGAATTTGGACTAAGGCATTTTTTTAATGGTAATTCTGCATGACAGTTGTAATTTGAAAAATTCTACAGAATAAATTTGAATTCTGTTCATTCTAGTATTAATTTTAAAGTAAATATGTATCATATGGTATGGTCCAACCCTGCCCTCTTTCCAAAGTCAGCAGAAATGCTGTAGCCCAACAATGATCTTTTAAGTGATATAGAAAAAGGATGGATGGATGTGCATTTTATTTCGCAGCTAAAATTGCATTGATGCGCAGACAGCACACAAAGCAAGTTGTTGTTTTTTTTCTCATGGAAATGTAATCTACTGGATCAGGTGGTTCACTGGCCAACTCGGCTCTGTTGCAATTGATTGTACTGATTCTCTTTGGGCTGTAAAACAGCTGACTCATGACCATATATTTTGTTGTTCTGGTTATTGGTTGGCAAAATGCAAATGCACTGTTTAACTTGCAATAAAATGTATACCTAAATCAATTGTCATAACACTAAAACTGTAAAATGGCAATTAATTCAGTAGGCTACAGAATAAACATGCAGTTTACTGAGTTTTCATCAATTTATAATGATAAAATGGGCATTGGCGTTGAAATGAAATTTAGTCACCGTTTAACTACATTTCCCAGAGTTCACCGGTCCTTATGCCAGAACATCTTAATGACGTATTTTGTCTGCGCCCAACGGCGAGGCGACATTCACGATACGATGGCGAGTGGTAAAAAGAGTGCACTTCTTTCTTCTCTGGCGGATTATGGAGACGATTCGGAGCCCGACGACTCTGACCCCGAACCAGAAGAGATGGGTAGATCGAAACATATTGTTGTGTTTTGTTTATGATAATGGGCTACAACATTGTCTCCTGTTAGCAGATCGTACGCTTGAGCTTCATGTGATCGCTAAATTAGCATCCAGCTAGCCGCCAATGCATTTCAGAATATGCAGCGGTGTATGCGTGTGTTCACCACTCACTTGTTTCTTACTGCATTAATATAACGTTGAGGTTTTTTTTTCCTTTTTGCAATGTGGACGATATCGATCACTGATTAAATGAATGAAAATATGAACAAACCCCATTCAGGCGCGCCGCTGATTACGTCATTCCTGTTGCGTGAATCCAATGTGTAGCATCAACGCGAAGCCGTGGACCTTCTGCAATAAATATTGAACAAATAATAATAACAACACAGCACAGTAGTGGTTGAAAGTTACTATTGGACTCATAACAATCAAATTTAAACTCGCGTCGCATCGTAGTAGAATGCAGTTTTCAAATTGCAAAAGCCGCAATTGGGAAAGTTGGTGGGTTTTAGTTTTTTTTCGTCATCGTTCAGCCCTCAACTATATCCTCCACTATATTTAGAAATATCCCTCCTGTATAGAGGGCCTTACACGAATGTGTATGGCTTGTATACAACAGCCCTCCAATATGGCCGCCGGTAGTGCATTGTGGGTAATTGCTAAAAGGACGGAGCCCTCTATAGTGATTAGGGAGTGCGGCTCAAGTAAATTATTCTGAACACAGCCCATGTTTTTATAGCCATAGTACATCAGTGCTGTTTTAAAGGCTAAATACACACATTTATATAGTAATAGTTACTCATTTTTACATCCAGTGCAGACTTAAAGTCTAGTTTACTGTCTGATAACCTCAAGTAATGGAGCGTGACTTTGTTGCTACTTTGATTTGCGATGGACAGCTCTGCTTTATGTCAGCTTCCCTCCTTTGACCGATTGTTGTTGTTCTTATGTTGTCCGTTCCTGTCCAGTAGAAGAGGAGCATGATGCCGCAGGAACAGGCGGGCTTGTGTTCGGCTACGGCGAAGAGGACCTCAATCGAACCGAGGATGTTGTTGAGAAGGAATCTGAAAATGAAGACAGCAGAGAGAGTAACTCGGTAAATATATGAATTCTGAATTCACTGTCTGGCTTATCTGTTCTGTCGAGCACCAGTGCTTGCAAGCATGCTGACGAAATGAGAGCAAAAATCTCAGATTACGAGCAGTGAACTCGGATTCTTTAGGGTCAAACCTCATGTCGTCGATTATCTCCATGGGTTTGCTGTGCCTGCACGTTTCTATTTGCCGCCCCTCCTGTCAGGCCGTGCGAGTTGGCCACGGTCAGGACAACGCTTTGATGTGCCGGTGCAGTTGCTAAGTGATAACGTGATGCCCGTGAATAACAGCACTGTTCCTTTTGTGCTCAACCTGTTATGCAGTAAATGCTGGCACAACATGCAGCATACTTTGGAGGTTGGGAAAGACTCCACCTTTTGCCAAACCAAGGATTTCATTTAAAGAATAAAAACATGGATGCTTCTATTCTTTGTTCAATTAGCAGAGCTGTTTTGTTTATCTCAACTAGGGCTGTCGCGACTGAACAGTGCTCGGATCAGTTCCTGTTTCGATTATTCTATCTAATAACTGGATACAATTTTACTTTGTATTAAAATGGCTTACAAAACAAATTTCCCCGATTACTATCGTGATTAATTTTGACACCTCTAATCTCAAGGCAACCTTGGTAGTTTTCTCGGGTATTGTTCTTCCGTCCATCTGCCATTTTATCGCCAGTGCAGAGGAGAGCGAATAAAGTGAAACGTTTCTTATTTTGCTCGTTCCACAGGTATCAGAAGTAGAAACCAAGGATCCAAATGAGCTCGTCGGTAAGTGTAAAACACACACAGAAACGTTTGTAGCCAGTTCATCGTTTCAGTGACATTCGGGTGCAGTCAATGTGTGAAACACTTAACTGGACTCGCATCGAGTTCTAAAAGGCTCTTTGTCTGCCGTTTGAAAGATGGGTCATGACGGTCGAACACAGGAGTTGGCTACGCTTGTTGAGTAATCACTGACCCGTGCAGGTGTGTGTGCGTATGATATCAGGCAGGAAATGAGTGATGCAGGGAGTGGTGTTTTATTCGCCCCTGCGTTGAGCACACGGCGTTCCCACCCAGCTATTTGTTGATTCTGGCCTAGAGCCTGAGGCTATCATGAACTGCACCTCTCATTTAACGGCAGACCAAAAGACTCAAGAGCTGACTAATCGAATCCGAGAAGAAAAAAAAAAGGCTAAGTAGTTCAATGTTTCCGCTTGTGCAATGAATCAAAAAGCCCATCCACTTATCAGCCTCATCGGGTTGATCAACAAGGGGGAGGGGGGGGGGGAGCGGCACGTTTTTGTTTTCAGGATGACTCCACTGGCAGGGGCCTGAGCGTGACTCATAACTGGACACTTGGCATTCCCGCAGCAGCGCTTGGCTCCTTCTGTGCTGTCTGACAGTAAATGTCACAGTGCGCCTCCTGTCAGCGGGCTGAAGACCGCTCTTTGTCCCCCTCGGTGAAGGGACACGCATTGTGCCGCTCTCCAAAGAGACCCCGCGGGGGCACGGATTTTGACTTTTGTCTGTTTCCAAGCGGAACAGATGGCGGTTGAGAAACGGATGATGATTTCCTGTCGGGATGCTTCTCAATGCCGTCGTAAACTCGTCCCGATTGTGCGACTATTCTCTGTGGGTGTGTGATCGGTGGTTGACTCTCACGTCCTCAAGTTTTATCTTTTCAATTTTGACTCATAGATTAGAAAAATTTGACTCCCGCAATTCCTCAGCCAAGCTGTGAAATTGTCTGTTCCTGTCATGGAATGTGTGCACGCTTGTGCATACCTTGCATTGCATTAGTTCTGCATCCAGAAAACGCAGGCAATGCCTTGCCCCACCTCTTTTTGTCAACGTGGGCAAGCTTTTACAGCAGCGACGGTGCACCGTTGAGGGGAGGTGTTGCGCCGCCTCGAACGCGCGCCGAGACCTTAGTGGCAAGTACTGATACGTGGAAGACTGAAGTCAGTCAATTAAAATTGCTCCTGCCGCCAACTGCAGCCCTGAACAGGACACGAGCAGTGAAAAAAATCGATGGATGGATTAAACAAGCGAATATTTTGCGAGCCATCGGTTCCCGACGCCTGTTTTAGCCTTGGCCATCTCAGAAAATACTCTGTTCACAAAGTCACATTTAGGCCTGAGCTAATAACATTTCCTAATATAAGTGTCATAGGCAAAAAAAAGTTGCAAAATAAGTCGCATCACAGTTGCCGTCGCGCTAGGTTGGTGAAGGACATTCCCCAAGTGTGCTTGGAAAAATAAAATGTCTTCAGCTTGCTGAGCTAAAAGCCTGGTACTTGTGTCAATGATTCTCAAATGTTCAGTCGAGTTCGAACTTGTCTCGCGTGTGGGGGAACCACCTCCCGCTTTTGCACTCATCCACCAAACACCGTTTGCAACACTCATTCGGATTGTGACAGACGCCTGAATAAGCGTAAAAAGCCACGCGTCTGGTTTTGAGACGATGTGACAGCGGAACGTCTGGCATCAACTCAGGGAAGCCCGCACGCAAAAGGCAAAACACTCCATGGTTCCAAAGGGCACCATGGAGCTCGAAAAGGAGTCTCCCTCGTCTCGAAGCTCTAACAGCCGCCACTCCCTGACAGGGAGTGCACTTTAAACTCCCGTCGTGTTTATCCAATAAAACCGGCCTGTTCTACAGGACCAAAGTGAATGTCTTTAAATTCAAAATGTCACACACGTTCTGACCCTTCATGATTAAAACTGATCAACTTAAACTATGAGTGGCATTTACGTGGCGCTTTCTTTCTTAGTTCATCCTTATTTTAAGTGGAAGGTGTGCAGCACCACTGCTGAAGTGGAGAAATGGGCTCATTTTATTTTTTCTCCACAGCTCTCTTCTCAGAGAAGGTGAGAAACATGTCACCTGATGAGATCAGAATCCCACCCGAGCCCCCGGGACGCTGCTCCAGCCAACTACAGGTAGCAACTCCCTGCGGAATGAATTGATCACAGAATTTATAAGCCGTCATTATTTTCCTGCTCTTTTTATTCAAACATGAGCCGGCTAATGTTTAGACCTAAATATGACGATGTCAAGGACACAATATAGTCTTCGGTCAGAGGAGAGCAGACGCTGTTGTTGATGCCATGCGTTGTGTAATTCTGAGATCATCATCGGGCTGGAATCGGTTTTATATGCGCACACCTCACAGGTTGCAGGTCATAAAACTGTCCTGCTCAAAGCTGAATACTTGGCGCTGGCTGCTTTGGCAGCAGTCAACACATGCCTTTTACGCAAGGTAGTGTTTGGAGTTCAAAATAAAAACAAAGGTCTTACGAATCAACAAATGAATAATAATGACTTTCCACGGCGCTGGCCAAATTTGACTTTTGCTTTGGTTTGACCTGATCACATCCAGCCTTGGAAAGGGCAAGAATGCTAATTTGAGCGGCCGCGACAATCGAGATGTAAAGAATTCCAAATTGCATCTTCATTTGCCCCCGGGGTGAAATTCTGGTGTCTGCATAAATTCAGAGACCGAGATAAGATTTGTTCTGGAAGGAGCAGAGGCAGGTCGGGACACAAGGCGGATTTTGTAAATGAACAGCTCAACTTTATCCCTGCAAGGCTTCCACTCCCACACCGAACCAGTAAACGAATGATTCACTTTCACCAGTATTGCCCGGGTATCCGTGGCCTTGGGGAAACACATACGCAAAAAAAAAAAAATAATAATGCTTCAGTGTTACTAACATGTTCTCTCAGTGCAATTGTTTTCATTTTTTGGGCATTTCGCAATTGCAAGAATGTATCTGTTCTGAACACTACGAACCAGATATCTTTTTCCAATCGTGCCGTGAACTTGTAAGGAAAACAATTCTGGGTTGTTGGCGAGCTTGATTTTTCGCTGGATAGCAGATGTTCACTGTATGAGATGAGAAAACGAACAGACTCATCCAGTTTTGACATGTGAAAGAATTATCATCATCACCCTTCAAAATTGTTTTGTCTGACAGTTCTCAAATTTAACGCTAAGCTTCTTATCTGTGAGCACATTATTTCCTGGCTTCTTCATAGATAATTCCGTCAACATTACTGCAGGGTTTTTTTTTTTTCTTTCTTTCTTTCTTCGCCACCAAGTGAAGGTGGTTGGAGAAGCTTTGGTCTTCTTTTTACTTGCAACGTCTTCTTTCCCAAAAGAATGACAGAAGACCTCAAATGAGAAAGATAGTTGCCAATTTGGCTAAATGATGAGCGGGACAATTCTGAAGCTACTCTCACTTCAAAAAGGATTTCTGAACTCATAATAGCGTTCTTTATTGAATTCCATATTTCAGTTTTCTACCACGTACAATGTTTCGGGTCATGTGTGTTCTGGGGCCTATCCCAGCTGTATTCTGGGCGAGAGGCTTGGTGCACCCTGGATTGAATTTTCTTGTCAGTTGCCGACCTATCATGTCAAGTGATGTCACCTCGATGTTCTCGTCGCGACAGGAGAAGATCCACAAGCTGTACGAAAGGAAGCTCCACGGAGATTTTGACACCAACAGCCACATTCAGAAGAACAAAGAATTCAGAAATCCAAGGTAGACACACACCTGCGCAGTTTATTATCAATAACTATCTTGACTCATAAGGTTCATTTTTCATCATTTTGTCTTTCTAGCATTTACGAGAAGCTCATTCAGTTCTGCGGTATCGACGAACTCGGCACTAACTACCCCAAAGATATGTTTGATCCTCACGGCTGGTCAGAGGAGTCCTACTACGAAGCTCTCGGTAGGTTTGTTTTCACTCGGCATCTCAAATTGTGACGACCACACGCTAATTCGGTTCACCTCATTCTTAGCGAAAGCACAGAAAGTGGAGATGGACAAACTGGAAAAAGCCAAAAAGGAGCGGACCAAGGTGAGGCTTCAAAGCAGGCTAACATAGACTTAGAAACCAGCGGCGTGCCAAGGTATGCACTCGTAACTGTTGTGTTTGTGTGAAATTATTGCATTGCGTCAAGTATGCGCAGGGAGAGCCATCATTGACACATGTAGCTGTCATCAGTCCCAACATCATCATTCCAGCAGCCGCATATTAGTCAGGAAGGGGACTAGAAAGAACATGTAGCGCATGAGCTACTCTGTTCTTCTGTCTGTGTCATGTACTCAGTGGTATGCGGGTTCAATTAAGAGTGTGAAGAATAGAAACTTTGTTATATGCTGCTCGTACCTTTAAGCGAGATCCCTTTATGATATGTAGTCAGCGGCTCCAGATTATCATCAAATATCACCAACGGAATTCAAATGTACTAATGCTGGATGTGCTTTTGTCCAGATCGAGTTTGTCACAGGTACAAAGAAGGGCACCAATCCATCCAACACATCAGCGTCAACCACAAATAGCAGCAGCACAACCAGTACATCCACAGGTAAACATACACATGCCCGGGAAAAAAAAAAAATTGAATATCGCTTGTCAATCTAGTGACGGTGTTGTTACTTTTTCGACAGATGCTCAAAAGAGGAAGAGCAAGTGGGACTCCGCCATCCCCGTGACCCTGGCCCAGTCCACGCTCATCACCACCACGACGGCCACCTTGCCGGCCGTCGTGTCCGTGACGACCACAGCCAGCGGCACCAAAACCACCGTCATATCGGCGGTGGGCACCATCGGAAAGAAAGCCAAACAGTGAGCCGGCGCCGGTGATGGGAAGCCGGCGTGGCCGAGTGGTCCCGCGCTCGTTACACACGTTATGGCGAAGCGTAAACGAGGGTAGGAGGACACGTGGACGGTTTAATAGACTTGACTACCTTCTTTCTCTGGGATTGTGAGTTGCAGTTTATCGTGAGGATGGACGAAACGACTCAGCGCAACTCATCATTGTTTTGCTGCAAGTTATTTTGGTTTTCGCTTGTTGGCAGCAGTGAGATAAAAAAAAAAGTGGAATAAGAGGCTTAACTGTAAATGAGAAATTAGGCATCATGCCTCTTGTTGCAAAAAAGCATTTTTGTGGACATGACTATTTTTTTTACAATATTATATGTAAATATGTTTCTGATGAATAAATGGATCAGATCTTGCCTTTTCAACTGATTTCCTGTTGTGATGTAATTCAAGCAAACTGGATAACCACTCTTGCTCCGTCCAATCAGAAACTGTTGTTAAGAATTAGACATAATGTAGATAGCTATATTCAAGTACATGTACAACATTATGACCGCTCATGATAATGAATACAAGATCTGAGTCATAAGAATGTGCTTCTGCAGAGATGATTGATCTCAGAGATAACCTGAACAAGATGCAAAATATTGTGGTAGTTTGCTTGTGTTGTCGGGTAATACTTCAGAAGGGGCCGCTTGGGTGTGAGTTACCTTAAATATCATTCTATACTTTATGAGCAGCAAATAATTTCCTAACGTTTCTTTTCTCACAGTCGGATGCAATTTTTTATGGTGGCATGAAATGCGACTTACGTTTACCCGGATAGTTACGGTAATGTTCTTTGTGAACGTGCGCGGTTATATAACTGAAATTGTAAAACTGATAAGATTCAGACTTCACGCGAGTGGTTCCTGGCAGACAAGACACGTGCAGGTGGAGGTTTAGTCACGTGGGCGCACCAAGGCCAGCACATGGTGGGAAGTCGATCCAATCCAACATTTCTGGTAATTAGGTGCGTTTACCTCAATGTCCAATTGGCTGTCGCCGATGAGAGACGGAGTGGGTCCATGAGGGCTGGCCTGAAATACTGACGGACTAACGATGTACACCTCTGGAGATCAACAATATACTCGTGTAGGATTTTGATGTTTGTGTCATTTTGTTGAATGTATGAAAAAAAAAAAAACAAGTCTCATGCTTTTTGTTGGCCTCAAGCAGCATATAGTATTCTTTGTTTTTTTGCACACACAAAAAAAAAAAAGCTGACAATGTCACCGACAAGGCCCTCTGCAGCTAATTTAATCATTTGGGGGTGGACGCGTTGATGGATGTATTCATTTCTGAATGAGCTCAGTGATCCAAGAGCAGGCACAGTTTTTTGTCATGTAAATTGGTGAGGAGCTCTCAGAGCAGGCTCACACTGAGCGTGCAAGCGAAGAGATAACTGGCTCCTGGAAAACTAAAGGCAATTTTTAGTTGAGTAGTTTTCCAGTAGCTATTTGAAGGGAGCAGCCCATGGACCTTCATGCCTCCACTTCATCAGGATAACATCTTGTTAATTGTGAGTAAACATTTAAAGGCACATTGAACATACTTTCAGATTATGCATAATTACAACTGTGGCTGGTAGTGCATTTGAATAGTTTGCAGTTCAATCGACTTTTTGTTTGTTTGTGACAATGACTCATGGTTAAGTCTACCTTGTCGTTTCAGTGGTACTTGCTATATGATACGTGAGACTTTTTCGTGAATTTAACTAAAGAGTCAACCAAACGGTAACCACATTTTATGTAAAAATCTGGAAAGTGGTTAACATGTCTGCCTTATGGTCAAGAGATTCTGGGTTTGAATCTTGCCTCAGTTTATGATGCTCAAATTGGCTTTTTCCAGGGCTTCCGGTTACCTGTATGATTGATTACAATAAATTGCTCCAGAGTATGAGTCCAACCATTCAAAAAGATGTATCATGAAGAAGAAAAAAATGGCTTACCCTCACTTGAATCTCGCATCACTTTGAGGCCAAAGGTTAAATCGTGGTTGTACGTTGCGCCCTTTGACGCTATAAATTCTTGTTGTGATGTAATGAATCAGCAGGCTAAACTAGCGTCACGGCTTCGTTGGCATCGCAACAACTACTTCTACGATTTTTTTTGTGACAGTCGGCAAATACTTTTGCTGCATTACTGCCATCTTTTCCGCATGCTAACGGTGGCCACCCGTGGTACTACACGACTGTCGTCTATTTCTTTTTTTATTATTATTATTATTTTTGGATTTCTTTTCGCCTTTTTATTTTGTTCATTTTCTTGTTTCTTTGCTACTCCCTATTCTTTCTTGTTTCTTTTCCTCCTTAGCGTTCTTTTCTTCCATTTTTTCGCTTTATTCCTCCATTTCTTCTTCTACTTTCTTTTAAGCAGTGGCCAAATATTTTCGTGATTTACCACCCCCTTTGCCCACCGGCGGTAATGCAACAAAAGCCACCAACAAAATAATGTAAACACAACGAGGGAAATAGGATTTCGGGTGCCAATAAGAGCTCTAATTTTGATATACACTATACAAGTTGCACCTGAGTGCATGTTAGTTGGAGAGTAAATTGCAGATGGGAGCAAATTGTTGTTTTTTTATATCAGCCTTGCTATTGACTGGTAACCAGTCGAGGGTGTACCATGTCACACATACTTTTATTTATAACATTTTATTTCCTCCTGAATGACCACCACCAAGGACAAAGTGTCAGCTGTAAGAAAACAAGGAGGGGGAGGAGGAAGCTGTGTTGCTCCCTTCCTGCAGAATGTTACTCCCCCTGAAGAAGAAATTCACTTTTGTAGTAAACCCGATCTGGTTGCTAGGGGCAGGACTTTGTATGCCACTGTTCACACTGGCCATTGTGGTATGTACAGTGTGAGAAGAAAAGGCTACTCTCTCACCACGGTTGGGTTAACCCACTGCTTCCCACATGTGTCAGAGAACCGTACTTTGGTTTGAATGTCAGTTCATCATGTGTCGCATTGCAGAAACTCAAAAAGTTCAGAGACAACATATATTCAATACTTGTTGATATTGGAATGCACCACCCGTTGCTGGTTTGCAATGGGTGGCGCAAAGGCTTATTCAAACTTGTTGGATTTATATAGTATGCCAAATTAGCGACTTAATGAATTCATATATTGGGATTAGTGCATGTTTTTTTTCTTACCTGACCTCATTTGCATTGAACAGATAATTGGACATGACCGGACATGGTTTCACAATCGTAGTTGTTTATTGCCAGAGGGAGACGGAAAATGATTCACATCACTCTCCTACATTCTCTAGATAACTCTAAAGCTTTGTTTCAACGAATATGATGAAGAGGACACATTGCTCCAAAAGTGGATTACTGCATGCTGTGTCACTTCTAGGTGTTTGTTCAAACATATAATGTGCCGGTGCGTCACACTGCCTGATATCTTTGCAATAAAGTGATGCAAGAACCCACCTTTTATTTTATTTATTTATTTTTTTTGTCTGAAGGATTCTGATGACAATCGGAACAAAAATCAGTTTCTTCATGGAACTGTTGGTATACTGTTGATGCAAAGGGTCTGTGACAGCCTGACGCAGACCGCCTGCTGATATTGCTAATATGAAAGAGAATGAACTCATTTTGTCTGTTATTATAAAATGTTTAAACTCCTACTTCTGGTTGCCACAGTCTGATCCGGATTGTTCTCCCCATTACAAAACAAGTCCACAGAGCTTTGTTAAGCGTCTTTGTATAATGTGGAGCGCTTGAGGATTGAGTATCACGTTCTGCGCCACGCGGGCACCTTTTTTTGTTTTTTGCGCACATGAAGCAAGTCCAGTTATGAGACTGTGTTCATATCAAAATATGTGGAGGAACGGCCATCAAGATGAGGAGGGCACGTTTGTGTGGACACAACATTCGCACACACAATGTTTCCCGTAGCCTGAAGGCAGAGTTTTAGCTCCATGCGCCACTCCCAAGAGTTTGGGAGAAGGCCACGGAAGGAGGGGCCTGGCCCCACGCTCAAGCCCACACAGGTAACGGCTGTCGGAGTGGAATGTGACAGAGGTGTGGAGCTTTTTTAACTTATAACAGGGTGTGGAAGAGATAGAGGTTCGGGAAGGGAGTTAACCCTCCATGTGTTTGCTACTCACCTGGATAGGGTGTGTGAGTGTGTGCGTGCGCACGCTCAACTTAAAGGAGGGATCAAGTCACTGCAGACAAAGTCAAATTCCGTCAGTCGCTCTGAATCTCTCGATCTCACACACACACACTTGCCGCTCCATTTTATGGGCAATTCAGTCAATATTTGACCGGACCCGACTGCACAAGAGGGACGAAGTAAAGTCAGAAACAGGACTCAGTTTTTGCTTTTTGGGGTTGCAGTTTTTTTTTCTCTTTTGTGTGTGTGTGGGTGGGTGTGGGTGTACTTGGATTTGCAGATTTTACTTTTCACTGCAGGTGGATACGCACTTTCCCCAAACTGTTGGATCACACACGCCAAAGAGGATTTAGTGGGGATTTTTTTTTTCTTCCTCCGTTTAATTATTGTTGGACTTTTTTTGAACTCGGACTGGTGTGTGATCATCAGGAACAGGTTTGTTTGTTTTGACTTTTTTTTTTTTTAATTCATGGTCACAAATGATCCTGAAGTTTCCATTGTTTTCGCTGCAATTCGCCCGCTGACTCCTTGTTCATATTCGCTTGTGACCAAAGGGCCAAGTGACTTGTGGTTGAGTGCGTGTTATGCAACTCTATGTCATACGCAGTATCGCTGATATATGATCCTCACACCTTCGAGTATCGAATATCTTTTGTCATTTCTGTCATCTCCAGCTCAGCGGTTCTGAAACTTTTCACATCAGGTGTCAGTGCCACCGAGTTAAACATAATTCAACTGTACTTAGCACATGTCCTGTACTGGTTTCAAAACAAAACAAAAGTTGCAAGTGTAAAATTATGCGTAATTTAAACATTTAATTCAGTGATTCTTTTGCACACCACTAGAGGGCGTTCTCACGCCACTGTGGGGATTTCAACATACATACTCTTAAATGAAAGAATGCCAAATATCTACATTGTTTGTCACATATACCTGCGTGCAGTGTCAAACTGTATTTTTTTTCTCCAGGTCACCCACAGCAATAGCTTCAGGTTCCTCTTTTGTTTTTAAGTGCTTTTAGATGATTTAACTCAGCCTTGAATGTGATATATCCAACCCAACTTGACCCAAAACGCTCGTGACGTGTGACCGTTGGGGTGAGACCCCTCCCAAAGTTTACCGCCAGTGGACTGAACACCTGCATACTTGAACAAAAAGGCTTTTTCAGCACACATCTCTGTGATTGATGGTTATGTTTTGGAAGAAAGAAGCTGGTTTGTCTGCCCAGACCCAGCGTGGTCAGTGATTTATGTGATAGATACTCAATGACGCACACATCGGTGTGGTCAGCTCACACTCACAAGGAGGTGTTAAGGTGTCTTTCCCATGTGTTTTCAGGCTGTATTTTTTTTTTTTTAACTTGGATTGGTCATCCTCGCACCTTCAGGAGAAATTCTTTCTTGAAATTGTAAATCATCCCTGGACAAACAGGCTTTCTTTTATGTATTGGTTTATTTTCAATGTTGTTATTTGTGATGTGGAGTGTCTGCCCACAAAAGTTGTTATAGGTGACCAAAACTATTAAAATAACAAAAACAAAAATGTTTTTTTAATTGTTAACAAAGTAAAATAAAGAGTGTTTAAAAAAAAAAAAAGAAAACATGAGACATTTATCAAAATCACAAAAAAACTTAAATTAGTGCAAAAATGTCCTTTGTTTTCAATTCATTTCATGCATGACTTTTGGGGTTTATTTTACATGTATTAATTTCAGTAGGCCAATTTCAGAGTCGAACAGTTGTCTTGGAAATTGTAGCTTCCTTTATCACAAAATATTTACTGAAACCTTTTATTTAAAAACAAAAAAAAAATCTTGCACTCAACATATTTTTTTTCACTAAAACTAAAGTAAAATTAAGCTAAATAACTGGTAAAAAAAAAAAAAAACGTTTGAAAAAAAAAGTAAAAAGTAAATATAAATTAACTATCATGAAAAATCCTAATCTTTTGTATCCTTGCTGCGCACACACAGCACATGACTCTGGCGCTATTTCCATTTTCAGGCCACACTCTGTACTTTGTTCACTTCTCCAAGCATGATTCCCGCATAAGGTTAAACCATGTTTACGAAATAAGGACTCAACAAGGCGTGTGGCGGGTACTTCCACACCCCGCCCTGCATTTTCCCCTACCTGTCGCACATATCACACCAACTGGAACTGCACCAAACATATTATGACTTAACTGCCTCCATTCAAGTATGAAGAGACTGGAAGGAAAGTTGCAAAAGTTACCCGCATTGCTTCTTAAGATTAGTGACAAATACGCTTGACATCTTGACCACTGCATATTTTTTAACGGGATACTGTGTAAATGTCACTCTTCATATCTGGCTCTATTTACTTTTGCTCAGCCTTGACCAAGGGAAAGTGCAGGTGGTTCAAGTGATACCTTTTCTAGGTTTTCTTGCTCAGTTTGGCTATTTCTGTTTTGTTTTTTGAGCCTTTCAGCTATGTGTGCGTTTGTGTTTCAGGTGCAGGAAGGCGATGGGGAGATGGACGCGACATCTCTCGGTGGGCCTTGGGCTTTTGCTCATTCTCATGAGCTGCTCTTACACTGAAGGTACAGACGGCCACCTCCATGATGTCTGTTCGAGTTGTATTTTTTTGTAACTTTTACTCGTCGTCGAATTTCTTAAGTCTCTGCGTGACTTAAGAAATTCCATAGGACTGTGCATGTTTCCTAATTTTCATTTGGTGTTTAATTCATGTCATACAAGTTGCTGTGTGCAAGCGTCTGTTGTGTTCGGGCTGTAAGTGCTCTTTGTTGTATGATGAATGATAAGAAACGCTTTCAGAAGAAGCCAGATATTGTGCGCTGCGTGTGTGTGGGTGTAACGTTCGGTCTGTTTTATTCTTACTTTCTTTGATATGTGGTCCATCACCCGCCTCCTAAATTCCCCTCTGTCCTCCACAGCCAACTATTGCTTTGCCACCAGGTCCAAAACCTGCTCAGATTGCCTGCAGGTGGGAAAAGGATGCGCCTACTGTCCTGATGAGGTCAGAGCTTAAAACGGGACATTTAAAAAAAAAAAAAAAGAACAGGCTTCACATCTAGCCAAGATTTTAGTGCTTTGGCATTCCAACAAATATTTTTATTTTTTTTCCTTGTGGGTGATCATGATTCTCAGTCATAGTGACTTAAATGAGTTGCCTTTCTTTCCAAGACCTTTAATGGACCACGCTGCGACCTGTATGAAAACATTCTGGCTCATGGCTGCAACGCCGCGACCGTGATCACAGCCCAAAGTAGCATGAAGATCGAACGGGTTCGTCTTAACGTCGCTTCAAAATCATTTTATCATTGATGGTCCACAAAAATGAATGGTGGAACCTTCAAATTTTTCCTCCCACTTGGTTGTTCGTCGCCGTGCAGAAACAACTGATCGACGTCCGAATGGCGCAGTCGCAGGTGTCCCCGCAGCAGATGACTATGTCTTTTCTGCCGGGGGAGGAGAAGATGGTCGACGTGGAAGTCTTTGCTCCGACCAAAGGCCCTCTTGATCTGTACATCCTTATGGACTTCTCCAACTCCATGGAAGACGATTTGGACAACTTGAAGAGGATGGGTCAGGAGCTGGGTGAGCGGCTCAAATCTATCGCTTTGCGATTTTATTTTATTTTCTCTCATTCCGTGATGTGGTCTTTGTCTCTTACAGCTTCACTTGTGAAGAAACTATCCGATGACTACACCATCGGATTTGGAAAGTTTGTGGACAAAGTCATTGAGCCCCAAACCGACATGAGGCCTGATAAGTAAGCAATACTGCGCTCTTAACGCATTCAGCAGTGCCTAGCATACTCTTTCTCAATGTCATTGTTATCCCTCCCTTGTCATTTCCTTCAGACTTGCCCAACCATGGCCCAACAGTGACCCTCCGTTCTCTTTCGAAAACGTCATCAAGCTGACCAAAGACTTGAACTTCTTTACCAGCGAGCTTCAAAAAGAAAGAATCTCGGGCAATCTGGACGCCCCCGAGGGAGGCTTTGATGCCATACTGCAGGCCGCAGTTTGCGGGGTCAGAACACACATCCGGATGGACAATTTCTTCCGCGATCCAAAAAGCACCAAAGCGAAATAAACTACTCGACGGATTGCCTTTTCATTTCCCCAGGATAAGATCGGTTGGCGCGAACACAGCACGCATCTGCTGGTTTTCTCCACCGAGTCCGCCTTCCACTACGAGGCCGACGGCGCCAACGTGCTCTCGGGCATCCTGCCGCGCAACGACGAGCTCTGTCACCTGGACGGCGAAGGCAAATACACAGAGGATACCAAGCAGGATTACCCCTCCATACCCACGCTGGTCCGTCTGCTTGGCAAACACAACATTATTCCCGTATTCGCCGTCACCACCCACTCCTACTCATACTACAAGGTAGGGCGTTTATTTTACTTGACATATTTCTTATCTTAGAAGCGATCACTCAATACTGTGCACTTGTTTGTTCAGAAACTCCAAACGTATTTCCCCATTGCTGAGGTGGGCTTGCTGCAGGAAGACTCCTCCAACATCCTGCAAGTCATGGAAATGGCTTTTAAGGTAAAAAAAAAATATAATAATAATAATAAATCCTCCAGGTGCTCCCATGAGACCTCAAAAGAGACAACCGCAGACAAAACGAGTCACTTGTGCCGCTGCGTATTCTTTCAGAGTATCCGTTCTAAGATGAATATTCGTGCGGAGGACAGACCCAAAGCCTTTGAGGCTCAGTTCCTTTCCACCAGTGGGAAGATTGCAGAAGAAGGAGCCTTTGATTTCAAGCCCGGTGCAATTGTAAGTGACGAAACAACCTGTTAGTAACCTATAAACCTTTTTTTTTTTTTAAACACCCTGTATCTTGTCTTAGTATGGAGATGTCACTTCTCATTACTTATCTGTCAGTAAATCACATTCGGAACAACGCTCACAATCGCTTTAACACTTGGATCGGTGTTGTTCAAGGGCAAATTCAAGATGCGACTCAAAGCCCAAAGGATGATCGACGACTATCCGGTCTGTAAAATGCCTTTGGATGAAAAAGAGGGCATTATGAGAGTCAAACCGACGACCTTTAACTCTGCTGTGAACGTTAAAGCCAGAGTGCTGTGTCCAACTTGTGACTGCGAGAAGGTAGATGCACGTTTAACCTCTGGGAGTTCTCAAAATGGTTCAGATGATGGGGGAGGGAGGGGGGCGCCTTGGCCCTTTTATCCGAATTCTTACTCCGCTTTTGTCCTCCAGACTGCCATCCCGAATGCACCCAGATGCCATGGCAACGGAGACCTTGTGTGTGGGAAATGCCAGTGCCACGATGGCTGGTGAGATTCACTTTAAAAAAAAAAGAAAAAGAAAAATCACATATTTGCGGTCGATTAAGAACAATTTCTAACTCAATGTTTCTTTGTTCTTTCTTGGTGTTTGGTTCAGGCTGAGTACGTTCTGTAACTGTTCAGCTAGCGCTTCGGCGCTCGATACCCGCCTGTGTATCGGCCCGGGATCAGCGGAACCTTGCTCAGGTCGTGGTGATTGCTTGGAGTGTGGAACCTGTGTGTGCTACAACCCTGACCAGTTCGAAGGGCCTTACTGCCAGTACGATAGAACCCAGTGTCCGCGATTCGGAGGCTTCCTGTGTAACGGTACGGCAATCGTTGACACACACGTTTTTAGGTTTGGTGCTCATTAGCACGTCTGCATATTTGAACTCTTTTATCAAATCAGATCGTGGCTCCTGCATTATGGGCCGTTGTGTATGTTCCGACGGCTGGGAGGGAAATGCCTGTGAGTGTCCCAGGAGCAACCAGACCTGTCTGGACAGCAAGGGGGTCAGTAGACCAATTGTTTGGTTTTTTTGGTCTTTTCATTTCATTCATCAATGTCAGTGTTTTCACTGGATGTCTTACTGTTGTTACCCGTTTCAGGGTGTCTGCAATGGACGCGGGAAATGTGTTTGCGGTCTGTGTGAGTGTCCAACAACCGGTCTTGAAATGACGTCAACCTGTGAGCCAAATTTCCAGGTACCTCGACGTCATGTGTCGGTTTCGTTCATCTACCGTGTGTGCGGTTTTAATGCAAAGCAAGTTCAATGACGTATTACAGATTCATGTGATTATGCATGTGTATTCGTGATGCTCACTTCACATCCCAAAAAAATTGTGAATGAACAATCATTTTGGTGAACTTTATCCTCACAAAGGTCGCCGGGCATTGTGGAGCCTATCCCAGCCGGTGGTTCTCAAAAATATTTACGCCTCAAAAAATACTTAGCGATCCAAATACCACCATCATGACCAACATTAAAATAGTTGTATAGTAGCGTTTATATAAATAACGCGGCACATTTTATAACTGAAAAGTATATTTAATATTATTCTAACCCACTGGAACATCGGCTGTCCACTGTCGTAAACGCTGTCCCTGAAAGGGTTCAACATCAGAAAAAAAAAACAAAAAAAAAACTCGAAACTTATTCCTTAAAACCAATTCATTCACTGGAAATAACATTCAATCCATAACTGTAATGATTTCAAAACAAAGAGTCCATCAAGATTAAATGCAACTGTATTGAAGTCCAAAGTTAAATACAACTGAACTGTACCAGGGCGGCGACTCTTCTTCTGTTGCCGACAACTAGTCTGACCCAATATACTGCAAACTCCAACCACTAAAATAAACATTGTTCATATCTTACAGTAGATCTCTAATACTCTAAACAGAGCATGTTTATTTTTGTGGGTCGTAATTTATGGTTATATATTGGTTTGGTATTTGTGAGATGATGTGATCATAGTCTTTTTTTGGGGCGGTAAAGGATTCAAATTCCCATCTGTTATTCAACATTCGTTTACGACAGATTGACAGATTAGCACATTTTTTTCCCCAGTTTTTAAACTCAAATTTTGCTCTGCGCAGGCTCAGCTGGGTGTGTGTGAGGCCACAAGGAGTTGCGCTCAGTGTCAGGCTTGGAAGACGGGAGAGAAGAAGGACAAGAAGGAATGTGACAAGTGTCCTTTCCGAATCATCATGGTGGACGAACTCAAAGAAGGTGCTGGAAATGATTGTTTTGCAAACATACGGTCACCTTTCATAAACTCATCATTACTCCTACATTTTGCCGTCATGCCAGTCGTTTGACGTGATCCGTATGTGATTTCAGCGGACAAGGTCCTTGAAAAGTGCAGTTTCCGCGACGAGGATGACGACTGCACATACCACTACACGGTGGAAAACCCCAAAGACCCGAGATCGAAAGACTTGGAGGTCCAAATGCTCAAGAAGAAAGGTCATCTCAAATTTTATTCCCCCCCCCCCCCCCCCCAAAAAAAAGTCAAACGGCCTTTGCTGAAGTGACGATTCTCTCGCTGACGTGAAAAATTCCTGCTCACGTATTATTCTGTTTGTAAGGTGGAGGTGCTGTGTATAATTGTCATTTTAACAGATTTTTTTTTTTTCTGATTTTCTCCAGATTGTCCGGCTGCCAGCCTCCTATGGCTCCTCCCTCTCCTCTTGTTCCTCTTGTTACTGCTGGCACTTTTGTTGCTCTGCTGCTGGAAATACTGTGCCTGCTGCAAAACGTGCTGCCAGGTAAGAAAATAGGAAAGGCGGGTTTGCCTGTATATTGAAAAAAAAAAAATCTTACAACAGGGGAAGAAAATATTTCTAAGTCAGAACAGATCAGAAAGCCTTTGTGGTCACTTTGCGGTGATACTGAAACTGTTTTTTTTTTTCATTGTGTCTCTCCCAAGAGCTGCCTTGCCCTGCTGCCTTGCTGTCGGAAAGGTAGGACGTCAATTTTGTAAATCCTCTTTATTTCCAACGTGGATGCCTATTCATGCGGCTTTTTCATGTTGCCGTTAGGTCGCATGGTTGGATTCAAGGAGGATGAGTATCTTCTCCGGCAGTCTCTGCTCACCTCAGACCACCTGGACACACCTATGGTGAGGACAGGACCTCCCAAAGGGACCGATGTGGTCCGCTGGAAGGTGACAGATAATGTGCACCGAAGTCCCAACCATCCCCAGGTTCTAGTCAAGCCTAACCCTAAAGAAACCAGTAAGTGCACATTGCATCTTTGCAGATGTTTGAATCCTGAAGAGGATTTCAAATTTTGGTTCTTCTTCCTTTTTTTATAGTTCAGTATCCAATCTCCCTGCGTCTTAACCGGCGCTTTTCGGAGAACTTGTCTCGTCCCGATTCGAGGGATTCAGAGCAGCTTCGTAAAGAAGTCTCAGAGAATGTGAGTGGTAATCTTGAGTGCGTATGTAACCACGCGAATGAGTGTACGTACATCTCACTGGAGGTCTGTATTTGCTTTTCTTTCAGCTTTATGAGGTCTACAAGCAAATTCCCGGGGCCCAGAAAATGCAGAAGACCTCATTTAGGTAAGGTGTGACTTCTCACAGTGTACACGAGTATATCTGCACCCTCATGTAATCACCTGTCCTCTTTGTTACAGAACACAGAGAAATGCAGGAAAAAGGTAAACATCCTTACATGTACAGTCTATATTTCTGTAATCGCCGAAAACCCAATGTTGAAATCTTTCTCCCCTTGTGATCTACAGGCAAGACTACACCATCGTGGACACCATCCTGTCCGCCCCTCGCAGCAGCTACCCTGAAATCGTCAAGTTGACTGAGAGAAATGTCCAGTCCGGACACTTCAGCGACCTTAAAGTGTTGCCCGGCTACTACACCGTTGCAACAGACAGAGGTGTGTTGGAAATGTATCTACAGTGTCGTATTTCAAGCTACAATATTGACGACTGCTATATTTAAATATCAGCTCTAAAATAGCATGCTGGTTTGTAATATGGAGGTTTGCATGTACAGCCTTTTGTAAATATGCTTCAGGAAATTACACAGTACTTAACATGGCTTGGAACTTACAGCGATTTTTTTTTTTTTTTTATCTCCACAGAGGCTGCAGGAGCGATCGAGTTCCAAGAAGGTGTCGAATCGATAGATGTTCACGTGCCACTCTTTGCCAAGGAGGAAGATGACGACAAGAAGCAGCTACTGCTGGAGGCCATGGATGTGCCGCTTGGAATTGCCAAAATTGGAAAACGCTTGGTGAACATCACCATCATCAAAGAACATGGTCAGAAAAAAAAACAGCGAAAGTAACGAAGATGATGTCATGATACAGCGTGATCTCCTGATTGCAATAACGGAGTCTCTTATTTCCTCTCCCAAGCCTCCAGCGTGTTTTCATTCCTCCAGCCGGCCTACACATACAGTCGACAGGACGGCGTGGCCAATATTCCGATTAGCCGAGAGATCATTGAGGACGGACGCTCACAAGTCTCCTACCGTACACGAGATCTCACAGCTAAGGATAAAAAGGTCACCAAAGTGGATTGATGCAGTATCTATTTGCATTGGTCTCATACACATTCTACCGACGAGACTAACATAAAACTCCCCGTCTGTATTTCAGGACTACGTGACTGTGGATGGAGATCTCACTTACGGTCCTGGTGAGACCCAGAAAACGGTTCCGGTCCGTTTGCTTGAACTGGGTGAGAAAGATGCCCTCTTGGATGACAAACAAGTCAAACAGTTCGTCATGGACCTCAGTAACCCGCGACAGGGCGCTAAACTCGGACGCTACCCGAGAACTACTGTCACGATCGCCGATCCACCAGGTGGGAAGATTTCGATTTTCCAGTTTCATTTGATTAGTCTAAACATTTTGTTCGTCTATATGCGCCAGCAACATATAGTGATATTTTTGTCATGTTAAACATGTGCCTTGGCTCAGTCAAGGTTGGAGAAACATTGCCCAGTATACAGATGCTTGTATTCAAGTCTGGACACATTGATTCTCTCCAACCTTGTTTGATTTATAATCAGAGCCCAGTGTGATAATGTTCAAGAGGGGCACCCAGAACTTCACTACATCTGATCCAAATTACACCATCCCGGTGGTACGCACTCGCAACCAGGACAGCGCCGCTTTGGTGAAATGGCGCACAAAGAAGGGCCAACGCTTGGACCTCTCCGGCCTTCTGAAGTTTAAGCCTGGAGAGACAGAGAAGAATATAGTGTTTGACCCAAGAACCCACTCTGCCCTGGGTCAGCCCGACTCCTTCCAGTTGGAGCTGTTGGAGCCTAGTAGCAATGCCACAATTGGAGAAAGGAAGAATACTGTTGTCACTGTTGTAGAAGGAGGTAGAGTGTAGTCCAGGAGGAGTTGGAGTTTTTGAAGTCGATTGTTTAAATCACTTCTTTTACTTCCCGTAGGCCCAAGATCTCCCGAATTGGCCCAGACGCAGCAGAAAGGTTTTGTATCTCCCAAAAATACCTCGTTCGGTGGCCGCCTTCATGCTCCTGGAAACCCGAGGGCCAAAGCGACCGGACCCCGAAGCATCCGGCTCAACTGGGACCCACCGCCCGGTAACCCCATGGGGTACAAGGTACACCAATTGAACAGAAATTGAATTCTTACCCTCTTTGTCTCTGTAACACCACAGTGCTCGTCAACTGTACCTTTTTGTTTTGCGTTTGTCTTTTAGGTGAAGTATTGGATCTACGGCGACCCAGAGAAAGATGCTCAGGTCTTAGATGTCAAGACTCCTCAAGCTGAGCTGACCAATCTGTATCCCTACTGTGACTACGAGATGCGAGTGTCGGCCTACAATTCGTTCGGAGATGGCAACGAGACAGACATCGTTTCTTGTCAGACTCTGGAGGATGGTAATCGTTTCTTTGGCGTTCGGAGTTATTGGCTAACAACGGTCATTGGAAGCAGCTGAGCGCTAACGCTATATATCCGTTTTCCTGCAGTGCCTGGCGAACCGGGCCGGCTTGCGTTTAATGTCATCAGCCCAACAGTCACTCAGCTGAGTTGGGCCGAGCCCGCAGAGACGAATGGCAACATCACGGCTTACGAGGTCATCTACACACCCATCGACGACGATCTGAGTAAGAGAACTACCGTATCTTTCAAAGGACATACTTTTGGTACACGATATCGATGAAAGCCCAAGTGGACCGAGACACTCTTGAATCCCAATCCTTGAATCCAAAACGTTTCTCCACAAACTGTACTCTCGCATCTTCATATTCGGTGTTTGTCATCATATATCGTATCTCTGTGATCTCATCCGCAGAGCAAATTGGTGCCGCTAAGAAGGTGAAAATCGACAACCCAAAGAAGCGAATGCTCTTGATTGAGAATCTTGTGAGTGCCCAGACCTATCAGTACAAGGTGCGCGCCAAGAACGGAGTCGGTTGGGGCCCCTACAGAGACGCTACCATAAACTTGGCGTCACAGCCTGCGAGGCCTCTGTCCAGTAAGTCACCCCGCTGCTACTGAGCCTTTTATTTTTTCGCTCCCCAAACAAACACTCCTATCTGTCTTTTCTTTAGTTCCCATCATTCCGGATGTTCCCATTGTGGATGCCGAAGCGGGAGACGAGTATGACAGCTATCTGATGTACAGCAACGAGGTGCTGAAGTCTCCCTCAGGGTCCAAGACACCCAGCGTTTCTGGTGATGGTGGGTATGGTGGAAGAACGCAAACAGTTGACGTTCCATGAATCAGTCTGTTGACAATTCCGACTCCTGTCTTGGCCGTTTCACAGATTACATGATGAATGGAAAGTGGGACCAGAACTTCCTCTTCCCGGGCGGTTCCGCCACACGCAACTTGTCGTCATCCTCCTCCCCGATGTCTTCTTCCAATTCGAACTACAGGGGCGGCTCCTACACCACGGAAACAACCACCAACTACATGTCGGGTAAGACGCCTGCGATTAAAGCACGCAAGATCTCGTGGGTGTTCATCCAATCGTAACGCTCCTCCGTTCCAACAGGGAGCCCCCGCAGACCTGATATGATGGGTGGGATCGGCGGACTAGGAATGCTCACACCGGACGTCATCATGAGGAAGCGCTCGGAGAGGGGTTACACGGAAGAAAATATCCGGGACTCGATCGTCATGGGATACATGTCGAGCAACTTTCCAGAGCTCGGTAAGATTAGCAGCGATTGAATTGACAGGTGTGATGATACTGTAAGTCCTTAAATGCATCGTCTGAAGAAAGAAAAAGCAAGTGGACCGCGTAAGTGCATGAGCCAATGCGTTGGAAGAGGATGCATGATAAAAAGCTTGGTGCTGTTGGTTGCCTAGCAGGGTTATAAACGGTCTTTGCAGGAGCTATGCTGACTATCGCTCTGCTTTTTTCTGTCCCCTTGGCCTTAACGCGCCACTGTTGACGTGTACACTCCAACCCTTTCCCTGAACCTCTCTTGTCCACCCTTTGCATCCTCCTCTTTTCCGGCTCCTCCGCTCAATGTGCCATCAGGTGTGTACGGCTTCACTGGGTCGCAGAGCGCCTCTCAGAGCCAATTCGGCTACAGCCTGTCTCAGAGTCCGAGGGCCAGGACTCAGTCCGCCGAGGTCAACGAAGCTCTGTATAATTTGGACAGGGTGCTCCAGGGTAAGTGCGGTGCATGGAAAGCATGAAGGCTGCCGTTTATTCCCGACGCTCTTCTTCAAAGCTCAACACAAAACTCTTGTTGTACGTGCTGGCAACTAAAAGAGTATTATTATTTTTATTTTTTTTTTATCTTTTATTATATTTATATTATTGTATATATAATGTATATATAATTTTATTTTTATTTTATTTTTATTATTACAGTTCCACTTTCCTGAATGAAATAAAATGTTTTAAAAATGCTTTTCAAAAGAAAAGAAAATTGCAACTACATCTTAAATTTATAAAACTAATTATAATTATGGTTCTGTGTTTTCGCCCTTGTCAATTAATATCATACATGATTTCCGAGTTGAATTTAAATGTCTTTTTTTTTTTCTATATTGCTGTACATCGGTACGGAAGAAAAAAAGTTGTTTGAGAACTGTTGTTTAATTATTATACAACACTTTGTGAGTTTTTTTTTTTTTAATCTGGCTTTTAACAAATAAATCATATCATAAATGAATCCAATTCGAACCAATGAACATATTTAGTCACTGCTCTGTGTTAAACATAAAATACAGGACATAAAGGAAGATTAAACCGCTGCTAGTGGGGCACCGTATTTCTACCTCAGGTGCAAAGTGAACTAACAACCGACCAAAATTCTTAGAACCACCACAAAAATAAGAGTAGACTATTTTTTTTAAAGGACAGAATCTTTTCTCGGATCTCCTTCGGTACTTTGCACACCCGATCTCAGAGTGTCCCGCGCGACTGTCTCTCATCAGAAGCAAGACTCACCCCGGGGGTCCCTGACACCCCGAGCCGACTGGTGTTTTCAGCGCTGGGTCCCACTGCCCTGAAAGTCAGCTGGCAGGAGCCCCATTGCGAGAAGGACATCTTGGGTTACTGTGTGCTCTACCAGCCGCTCAATGGAGGTGAGGGTGGGCTTCCGTCGGTTGGCTTTCTGGAAGCCATTTTGGAAACGCTGTTGTGTATTATTTTTATTCCAGCAAATCATTCCGTTTTTTTCGCTTAACTGTGTCGTCTCTCTCTCAGGTGAAGTGAAACGCATCAATGTGACCAACCCGGCGGACAACTCTGTGATCATCCAGGATCTTCTGCCCAACCATTCGTACCTGTTTAAGGTGAAGGCTCAGAGCCAAGAAGGCTGGGGCCAGGAAAGAGAAGGCGTCATCACCATCGAGTCCGCCGTCGACCCCAAGAGTCCTCTCAATCCCATGCCAGGTTCCTGTCCATCACCTTTTGGGAATGGCCATTGATTTGAACTCACCATTTTACAGTCTGCTTTGTATTCTCTGTTCTTCCCCGGCAGGCTCCCCGTTCACTCTGAGTACCCCGAGTGCGCCGGGTCCCCTCGTCTTTACGGCTCTCAGCCCTGATTCCTTGCAGCTCAGTTGGGAGAAACCCAGGAAGCCAAACGGAGACATTCTAGGCTATGTGGTCACCTGCGAGCAGCTTCACGGAGGAGGTGATGCTATCGCCGCTCTCCCCACAGTGTTGATTTTCTCTTAAAGCTACAGTCATGGTCTTTTTTTGGCTCCCTCTTCACTTGTTATTGGAGACTTCTGGAGATTGTTCTTTCACTACACTCTTTTTGTTCATGTCCAGATTTCGAATGAACGGTGTGTGCGCAAAGCTATCATTGGTACATTCAAATAAAAAAATGCACGGGTAGTTAATTTTTTTTTTTCATTTAATTTCACGCAGACGCTGTCCTGTCCACCCAATTCTAAAGGCACAAAAGACATTTTAAAAAAAAAAAAAAAAAAAAAAAAAACGAGCCCAAGTTCAACCCTACACTAGAGCCGAACAGCCAGTGTTGATATTTTATGATCATTCTCCTCTCTCTCACTCTTGTGTCGTACAGGTGACACACGTTCCTTCCAGGTGAGCGGGGACATCGCAGAGACCCGGTTGACAGTCCCGAACCTGACTGAGAACATCCCCTACAAGTTCAAAGTTCAGGCTCAGACCACACAGGGTTTCGGCCCCGAGAGGGAGGGCATCATCACCATCGAGTCTCAGGATGGAGGTAAACATTTTTTTTTTTTTGTGCCAGCCTTTCACTGTCGCATTTTAAAGTGGATAACACCGCATCCCGCTTTTTTTTTCTCACAGGCGCTTTGTCTCAGTTCAATAATCAATCCATGACAAGGAGGGACATTTTCAACATGCCAACCGACGTGAGCGCCATGAGCAACATCTCACGCACCATGATCAACGACTTCTCAGGTAGAAATCAAATCCAGATTTGAACATTTTTAACCCTTTCATGCACCAATAATGACAACCTGTTGCCTGAAAACATGAAAAGCTGTCCACTGTAGTAACCGCTGTCCCTGAAAGGGTCAATTGATGACCAAACATCCTATTAAAAATCAGAATATCACATCGAAATCTATTCTAATTTGAGATCTGTGTTCTTCCCTCGACCAGATGGAATGATGATGACCACGCAACACACAGAAAGCAGCGGCATGATGACTCGCCAAATCACCAAGGAAGTGGTCCAGAGGAGCGTCATGGGAGGGACCACCGTCACAAAGAAAATGTTTTACGACTCCTAAAATAAGGTGTTTCATTTCCTTTTTTTTTTTTCTTTCTCGTTCGTTTGTTTTTGCCTCGATTTGCATTCTCATTGTCCAAACATTTGAGATTCTCTTTTAAAAAGAGTCACAGAGCTCATACAGGCTTGATGTACAGTATGTGTTCATAATTATGCAAGTGTGAGATTGTGATAAAAGAAAATTCTAGCCTATTGTATGGTTTAAAAAAAGAAAAAAAATGGCAAGGATGCCATTTCGTTGCGTCTGTTACAAATTTTAACCACTCGTCTCTTCCGATTCACCTTTCGCTCTGTGATGAATTTCGTTTCTTTCTAGTAAACAACTTCACTGCCGGTTAACTAACACACACGCAGTGTATCTAAACCGGGCAGGTTAATCTAACCGTGGTTAATCCCGAACGACACGACGCCCTTGCAAACCTAGTCCGGTAAATCTGTTTTGTCAGGATTAACATTACGTGACAGTGTCACATTAACATATTTCGAAAACCACAATATAACTCATTCAGTTCTTTGCAGATGCTTTTATTCCCGGAGGTTCATTATTTGCCTCGCGCGGTTGAATTTTTGAGTGACATGTTGATTGATGCGCATTAAGGGAGTGCTGTGCAAAGAATTGAAAAACACAATGGCATCAAATTATGTCCAACAGTCATGCCACATATAAACCGATTGCTGTATTTACACTTCTCATTTCGACAAATGATTTGACACAATGTATGTGGTTTCTCGTTTTATATGATGTTTTTATACTCAATGTGTGATATATAGTCCTTTTAACTTTATACTATTTTTGCCTTTTTGGTCGTTGTAACACATTAAGAGCTGTTCATTTGGAAATTACGGATAAAGACAAAGATTGTATTTGCTTTAGTGCACAAATAGAGTCAAATTGGGCTGCATCTTCATTCGAGATTTTTTTGCTTTTACAAAAATATTTGATATGTTGGGCCTTATGTGGAAAATGGATGAATTTGAAAGAAAAAAAAAAGAAATCAAGATATCACTTTTACACAGATGCGCTTGCCTATGTTATTTCTCTCTGTCGGATTTGTAGCACTTAATAAAGATCGAAAATAATCTTGGATTTGGGGTTATTTATTGATGTAGAAGGAGGGAGGAAAAAAAAGGCTTTGGCAGAGATGCAAACAACTCTGCAAAGAAGCAAGCAATGCAGAATTCATGTTATGACATGAAATTCTGCGTACATGCAATTCGGCAGTTCTAGCTCGCACTTGTTCTTCCAAAGCGGCTTTGGGAAATATACAAGTCATCCTGTGTGTTGTGCCTTTAGTCAGCATGTTTATCAAGCGCCATGTACAAAAAAAAAAAAAAACATTAATCCACGCTGCAAATACCCAACATTAAAAGATTTCAACACAAGACAGGAGAATATAAATATTTTACGGAAAAATCCCTCAAGGTGCAGTAACCTTGTTGAGCGACCCCCGTTCCTGCCCCCCTAAATGCTAAAATCTGTTCCATGAAATGGTATATTTTAAATGTTTGATGTTTTTCGTCATAACTATTGATCCTCAATTACTCCAGATGATGCACATGGCACGTTCCTCTCAACTCATCTTTATTTATATTGTGCATGCACAGTGAAGTCACCTAGTAGCTAATCCCCCCCCCCTTGGTATTTATCCTCTGCTATTTGCTGACAAACTCAACTATTTACAAAATCTTTAAAAATATATATACACTTTGGCACATCTCGTGGCAACTCGGTGCCAAGGAACTATGTTGAAGTGAATTATTTAGACCAAAGTAGTGATTTGCCACCATCTTGTAGCATCTGTAGGTAATTACAAATCTGTTTGAGAGGGAGGTACAATTCATCTTGTGTGTTGTTCCTTTAGTCAGCATGTTTATCAAGCGCCATGTACAAAAAAAAAAAAAAAAAACATTAATCCACGCTGCAAATACCCAACATTAAAAGATTTCAACACAAGACAGGAGAATATAAATATTTTACGGAAAAATCCCTCAAGGTGCAGTAACCTTGTTGAGCGACCCCCGTTCCTGCCCCCCTAAATGCTAAAATCTGTTCCATGAAATGGTATATTTTAAATGTTTGATGTTTTTCGTCATAACTATTGATCCTCAATTACTCCAGATGATGCACATGGCACGTTCGTCTCAACTCATCTTTATTTATATTGCGCATGCACAGTGAAGTCACCTAGTAGCTAATTTCCCCCCACACCCCCCTTGGTGTTTATCCTCTGCTATTTGCTGACAAACTCAAATATTTACAAAATCTTTAAAAATATATGTACACTTTGGCACATCTCGTGGCAACTCGGTGCCAAGGAACTATGTTGAAGTGAATTATTTAGACCAAAGTAGTGATTTGCCACCATCTTGTAGCATCTGTAGGTAATTACAAATCTGTTTGAGAGGGAGGAGGGGGGGAATTCACCAATTTATTTAAGTGGTCTTTTAACCGAGCCAGTTATTGGTGTAAAAACTCACCGATTTGCCGTTTTGTGCTCAGGCAGAGGAAACAAAAGTATTACTTTGGTGCCATGCTGAGGCATCTTGGTGCCAAGGAAATACGATATGGAATAATGAGTAGAGGCGCTTCATTTGGAAAAAATAGTGCTTTGCCTCCATCTCATAACATCTTGCTGCCCAAGGAACCATGTTGAAGTCAATTGGGGAGTTTCTTTTACACAAAATAAGTAGTTTGCCGCCATCTTTTGGCATCTCTCGGGCAAATTTAATTCTCTTAATTGGGCGTCAATTACTCGTGGATTATTGCTATTCTTGGCAGAGCTGTCTTTCGACTCGATTGCGCTTTTGATAGTTTCTATAATTGGAATAGTAGTTGTATTAAGTAGATTAGGGTTGACGAAGTCCCTATTCAAGGCCCAGGTAGCAAATCGACAGCCAGCCACATTGTCATACTTTAAACAAAAGCGCTGTTTGATGTGGTATAGTTTAGCTCCAGAGGCAAGGTCCGGGACAGAGGCATCGTTGTTTGACCCCGGGTGACCTGATCAGCAGGTCCTGAAGCACCTCCACCGTCCCGAATATGGGGACAAGCTCCTCTGTGAACTTGTCATTGAAGGTGTACACGTGAGACCGCTTGTCGACGTTATAGAAGGACAACTGGCCCTGCTGGAACTACATTGAAGTCTGTTGGAGAGTTTCTTTTACACAAAATAAGTAGTTTGCCGCCATCTTTTGGCATCTCTTGGGCAAATTTAATTCTCTTAATTGGGCGTCTATTACTCGTGGATTATTGCTATTCTTGGGGGAGCTCTGTCTTTCGACTCGATTGCGCTTTTGATAAGTTTCTATAATTGGAATAGTAGTTGTATTCAGTAGATTAGGGTTGACGAAGTCCCTATTCAAGGCCCAGGTAGCAAATCGACAGCCAGCCACATTGTCATACTTTAAACAAAAGCGCTGTTTGATGTGGTATAGTTTAGCTCCAGAGGCAAGGTCCGGGACAGAGGCATCGTTGTTTGACCCCGGGTGACCTGATCAGCAGGTCCTGAAGCACCTCCACCGTCCCGAATATGGGGACAAGCTCCTCTGTGAACTTGTCATTGAAGGTGTACACGTGAGACCGCTTGTCGACGTTATAGAAGGACAACTGGCCCTGCTCGTAGTCCAGATACACGCCCACTTTCCTGGGCGCCAACGTCAGAGGCAGCGATGTGGCGGGCACCGTCAAGGCCTTCAGATCCTTGCCCCTCTCCAGACGGAGGGTCAGGTACCCCGTGTCTGTGTTGAGAGAGCGGAAACCCCGCCTCACGGCGGACGCCTTGGCCACACCCAAGCGCCAGTCCCGCTGGCCCACCTCCACCTCCCAGTAGTGGCGTCCGGAGGCGTAGCCCTCCTGAGCAGCAGCGCACCACCAACCGTCGAAGCGACCGTTGCAACATGGGACGTCACGGCGCTCCAGGCCGCACCGCATGCTCTTTTCATTCGTGGAGATCAGCAGCTCTGGGTTGGCCGAGTCTGGATCCAGAATCACGTCCTCTGCGGTGTCACAGGACCACAACTCGATATTGGAGAACTTCAACTCTGATATTATCCTTTTTTTATTCAACAAGATTTACACACCTGAGGCTTCACAGATCCAATTCCACACTATAAAAAAATAAAGACAAATATTGTTAGTTATGATCGATTAAGAATAGTTCTTTTATTTTATTCACTTTGTATACAAGGCAGCTTAAGACCTTTGGCACCCCCTGAAATGATTTTCAAGGCAATTAATTATTCAAATATAGATTTTATTTTAATTCTTTTTTTTTATGACTAAATATTTTATTTGCTAATTGGCTGGAACGAATCACATTACACCGCAGTTAGATATAGAAAAAACAATTGTCTTTTATCCTTTCAAAGACAGCGTTCACGACAATGGACAGCTCCTCAAAGGTTTCTTCTATTTGAATGAATCGTTTAAAAAAAAAAAATCCTTAATAATCCTCATAGAGGGTATGATAATTCATGCATGAAAGGGTAACGCTTAATGTCCAAAATTTTGTTCCAGTTTGTTGTTCAAGTTAATCGATCACTTCCGCTTACCACCATGGGGGATGTATTGGACAGCATCTGAAAAATGGAAGGAAAAAAATTTGTTTCATCTATCTTCCTAAAAGGCAAGTCAAGTCAAACGTATTATTACTGTATAGCTCGTAAACACAAAAAAAAAATTCCCACAGCTGACAAATATTAACGACATCCCCTGATCTTAACAGCAAACAGTTTTTCACTGTTAATCTGGCTCCTTCACTGACTATTGTGCTCACGCATGCACCAACGGTAAACATGATCACGTTTATACTTTCTTAGATAAGAAGACATCTCACCCATGCTCTGATTCCTCTGCCTTCTGACCAGCCATTCCTTTGTCACATCCTCCTAAACATGCGCAATTGAAAGGACAATCGTCAAAGCAACTATTACTTGTTTTCATCAAAGAATTGTCATTGTTATACTTGATTGACCGACGAGGAACTTTTATCACTTTAAACCTTTCATGCACAAAAGAATGACTGTAACACGATAAGCTGTCCACTGTAGTAAACACATTGAACCTGCTTATGCATCCAGTCTGCACCAAATTATCAGGACCCCCCCACGCAATTGAAAGGACAATCGTCAAAGCGAAACATTTGAACACAATACGGAGCGCGCAACAAAGTCGTCTATCCCGTATTGGAGTACATTAAATGATTTTAAAATGACTTGACTCGCAATTAAAAAAAAAAAAAAAAAACTATTACTTGTTTTCGTAAAAGAATTGTCATTGTTTTACTTGATTGACCGACGAGGAACTTTTATCATTTTAAACCTTTCATGCACAAAAGAATGACTGGAACGCGATAAACTGTCCACTGTAGTAAACACATTGAACCTGCTTATGCATCCAGTGCGCACCAAATTATCAGGACCCCCCGCAAAAAGGGCACAAACCTTAACAGGCCTGTCTGCGTTCAGCACGACCAGCATGACATTTTCCGGTCTTTGGTAGTGGCAGTCTGACAGGCTGACTCTTGACTAGCGCAAGAAATAAAATGCAGTTTATTCGACCACCAACCGATTCAAATTTATGACATCATATTTTCTTTCCCTCCATAATGTGTGGAGTTTGAAAATCAACAAGATGTTTTAAAATCAGTTTGCGTGTATTGTACAGTATATGTTGTTACTTAAGAAACATGTGTCAAGTCTGAAAAGACATATAAAGATGCCAGAAAGTAGTTTTTCCACTTTTTGTTGTTTTGCCCTTTGAGTCATACTACCTTTCAAATTCAATTTTAACACTGACTATAGCTTGGTAATAGTTTAGTGTAGTTGTACCTGCACTTTCCTCTCCAGCACAGCGGCCCATTCCACAATAAAGTCCCGACACAAGCAGGCTGGCCAGACATCATCACTGGACCATATATGTTGAAGAACATTGGATCTCTAAACGAGCAGCACAAATCAGAGACTCATGATGAAGAAAAGAATTTAGCGATACTGTGAGTGCAAAGTTGGACGTCTGGGGAAGGCACGAGGAGGTTACCTGGCAAATTTTGCTGAGTTCCCGGGCCAGCTCCATGATAAATAATTGACTTTCGACCAGCTGCTCTTTTTTTTCCAGCTTCACTCGTTTGCTGGATTCCTGGAGCCAATAAAAAGCAGATTAAAGCGCATTTTAGAGAGAACTGTCGCTCCATTTCAGCACAAATTCCATACCTTTAGTCGGCTCTTGAGTTTTTTAGCTGGTTCAATGAGGAACCGCAGGCATTCTTTCATCATGCTGGCGGCTTTTGATTGGAGAACCAAATCCTGCGGAGTGATCATAAAAAGCTTGAGGGGGACTGGCACTCAACCTGCAAGGAGGCGGACTCGGCTCACATCGCCCTCACAAATCAATACAATGGAATTTATAAGAGGAAAGAGAGTGCAAGTGGAGGACTGAAGGACTTTTAGCACATCTCTGCATCCACCCAACAGTGAGCACATCATCAGGTATATGAGGCGAGGAGGAGGAGAGGACAGAAGACGACTCCCGCTATCCTACGCATGTTCAGCCCAGAGCACAAAATATGCATGGTTTTATAACACGTGGGTGGCACAAAAGAAAAAAATAAAATAAAAATACCAGGAGGCTGCCAATAGTATCACTACTGTTGCAGGAGCTGTCAAATCAGCAGTCTCCACTCAGAGGGTTTAATTTTCTTCCAATACTGTATATAGATCTAAAAGTGGAGCCCGATGGTATTGATTCGTCAAGATTATTAGTTTGAATATGTAGATTTAAAAGAAAATATTATAATGGAGGAGATGGACAGCTATCTAGATAGATAGATAGATAGATAGATAGATAGATAGATAGATAGATAGATAGATAGATAGCTCACTGGATGGATGGATGGATGGATGGATGGATGGATGGATGGACGGATGGATAGATGCATAGATGCATAGATGGATAGATAGATAATTTATCATAATCTATCATAAAATATGGATTAAATTATAAACAAGAGCAAATTTAACGATGAGCACGTTGGGAATCCATTGAAAATAAATACAAATTCCGTTAATAAATCCCAGCAAACCCCCCCCCCCCACACACACACACACACACAAAAAAACAGCCACAAAAAAATGGAAAAGTGTTTGGGATCCGGTATTTATGGTGCTTTCACACCTCGCACTGAGCCCCATCTTTGTTTATTTGTGCTGAGTAAGTGTTAGGGGAAACGTGCAGGCAAAGATCTGAAAGATTAGAGGAAATCCGGGATTACCACTCGTGGGTTGATGCTGGACAAACCCAGGTCCTGTACAAATTACTCGAACCACCTCTGCAAATCAGTGATAGCGACGTCATAACATACACAATTGCTGATATGTGCAAAAAGATTCATATGCGCCATTCACGACGTAGTGTAACGTTGCGGCGTCAAAATGTAAACGCGCAAATTGAGGACAAGGTAAATAACAACAAAACGTGTCCGCACACGTGCAGAGCCAGCAGCTGTACTTTCAACAATAAACGTCGATGGTAATGGTTGCAGAATATCTGCATTTATAAGATACTGACCTTTGAGAGAGAAATGTCCGAAAATATTCACTTGTCAATGTGCCCGCGGTGTTTTCTCCGAAAAATTAGCGCATCCTCCCGAGACCCGATGTGCACTTAGACTGCGAGGAGCTGCTGAGCGCTTTCGCGTCATCCGTTTTGGCCCACACTAAACTGCAGGTTGCTATTATAGCCGCTAGAGGGCGCCATATATTTACAAACCGCTGACTGTTTGTTTTGCGGGTCTTCGTATTTTTTGCCTCTTCCTTTCTGTTTTCTTATCACGTGTAATACAAGAATACACGAGGCGCCGCGTTTAGTGTCGCATTTCATGGGAAGCTCTGAAATGCATACAACTGAATATAGTCTTTGAACGCACCACGCTATCGTTGTCACTACTGAAAATAGTCTTTGAACGCACCATGTTATCGTCGTCACCTTCGCCGTGTGCAAGATGCCACCACATTGCACAAAACGTTTCGAATTCAAACTGCGAGAATTTTGAGGTCCTTCGCGATTCTTAAATAGTCATCGAACATGAAACGGCGTTGGAGCGCGCGTAAATGAAGTCTGAGGAAGGTTCGTTAGACGCACGACGCGGAAGTGGAGCTTCGATCCCAGCTGATCCGAATATGGCACCCAAAGATCCACTTCTCAGCGCCCTCAAAGGTAACGACCACTTTTCACAACACGGGATCATCCTAAAGGTGGTGCTATCAATGTTTTTTTTTCGCCCCCTCGCTGCCAGTGTGCTTGTTGAACCTGCAATCTGATGATGGGCAGACGGTGACGGACAGCAGCCCTCACCTCACCTCTTGCTGCCAGCTTCTTGAGCTGGTCCTCAGGAAAGGACTCCAACGTTAGTACCTCTGTTTTCGTACTGCGAAAATGTTCCTCCGGTATCTTAATGGGGTCGTTTATGCACTTATATTGGTCCGATTTTTTTTTTTAGATTACAAAATGACACCGGTGTAAATACTTAATTGCTGCCAGCCTTTGTGCGTGCGCGCGTGTGTCCGAGTATGAGACGAAAGTTCAAAATTCCAGGTTTCATTTCACTCCTAAACTACTGACGCTCTGTTACAAATTCCAATACTTTTGCTCACTTGAAAAGTGGGCGGCTTCAAACAAAAGGTGCAACACGAGCTGGAATTCTGAACTTTTGTCTCATGTTGGTCTTTTTGTCTTATTTATAACGGCAGAATTTCCATAATGTATGTGCACTTTTTTTTTCCCCCCAGAGCCAGTCCTCAATCTGGTTCATAGAGACTACTGGCAATGTTTTGAACAGCTTCCCCGCAAAGATACATGTGGCAGGTATAAACATTCTTATCGAAGAGGTGGAATGTGAAGGCACTTCCAAAAAAAAAAAAAAAAATCCTTGATGATTGGTTTTGTTGTTGTAGGCTGTGTACTGTGGCGTGGGCTGTGGAACAGACTAAAACTTGCAGGAAGCTTATCTCAGCTCAGGGCCGAGGCCGTTACCTGCTCAGATTGGCTCTCAGCCGCAAGACCCTGCCACAGTTCGTCACTCACGTCCTACACACCCCCAGAGTCTTGGAGGTCAGATGCAATTTCTTGTTTGAAGAGTCGCCAAGAAATCCCGTTCGAAAAAATCTCGTTGTTTCTGTTGTCAATCAAATCGTGATAGCTGTCGTCTCCATTTCTCCTAAACATATGTTAGATTAAATGAAGACTATAAACTGCACGCGATGAGAAGAGTTTGAGCTAATAGTCATGGACTACAAAAATATTTTCTCAGGACTCCTGCAAAATAATCTATTCACAAACAAAACAAATATTAGTTTAACTTGATCGTCAGCCATGTTTGTTTGTTTTTTTTTTTGTTTTTTTACTCTTGACTTGAATGCTGCAAGGTCTGACCTCTTGAACTTCTAGTGAGAAGTCCCATCAGTCTCAAATTTAGCATTTGAACTTGTGATTATCATACAATGTGGTTCTCGAATATTGTTGTCCACATTTTTTTGTTGGTCGGTCATACAACTGGAAAAATTAACATCGTTTTCTCCCCCTTCAGTGGTACAGCGAAACCTTCTCGATCCTCAGGAATGAAGAATTTTTAGGTAAGTGTTTGTACTTCCTCATACAGATGCCAAATGAAAGCTGTAGAAAATAAATCAAGTTATACCGTTGTCAAATGTGAATACACGTCACGCCCTTGTAGAACCTTTCATGTCCCTGCTCTTGGTTCTCTCGCAAATGGAGTTCAAACTGGACATGGAGGTCAGCTGTTTTCTTTCTTGACCAGTTCGATTGTACAGCACAGTGGCGGAATGAATACGCTTCCTTACATAAATGTGTCTTTGTACAGAATTGTAGTTTCTTGGATGAAAGCTGGCTTTTACCGGTAACCTTACAGTCACTTTATTATTTTTGAAACCGTATGCACAAAACAGTCTAATGGTCTTTTTTTTTTTTTTGCCAGGTGTGCGAGATATATGAAGTGGTACCGTGTCGACAGGTGGGAATGGTCTTGAGGTCTGTATTGTCTATTTTGAATTCCACCTGTCTATTTTTCGTCTTTGATTGCATTTTTTTTTATAGGTGCGAGAAACATAAATTTGTCATCTCACGATCTGTTTGTTCAGCTACCTCAATGGGCGCGTCTTCCTCCTGGACATGGTATCTGGCGGCCAGGCGCATGTTGACCAGTTTATCAGCCGCGGTGACGTCATTGACGAGATCAATGGCATCTGTCTGAGGAATTCCAGAAACGGACAGGTTAGAAAAGTCCTCACTCATACTTCTTGTGCATTTCTAGATTTCGAAGGGCACTTTATTGCCACCTTTGGGCACCACATGACAGTGTCAGCTGCACACTAATACATTTAATAATCACCATCTCTGGGGGGGGGGGGTTTAATCCCCACTGAAGGCCCGTGGATATTTCAAAAACCAGTTCTTGTCACTCGTCTCGCTGGAAGGCAGAGAAGCAGGGTTCCATTCATTAACCCGACGTGGCTCCAAACAGTCTCATGAACAATAATTGCAAAACCACCAGAACGTGTTCCTTTTTGTGTTAGGCAGGTGTGGTGCTGTCACGGCTGAAAGGCTGCTTCCTGTCCATCCGTGTTGTGCGTTGGCGAGCCCGGGACGGAACGGTGTATCGTCCTCTGGTCAAACTGCTGCGCGCTTTGAGGATAGAGAATCCGTGGCTGCAACTTGGTCCCGCTCCCTGTCAACAGCCTGCTGCTAATGACCAGAGAACACCACCTCCAACACAATGTCTCGTGGAGGGAAGGCAAGTCAGTGCAGCAACTAAATGTTATAAAAAAAATAAATAAATAAAAATGTACATGAAATAAAACTGGTGTATTGATCGTCCTGTCTCTCCTTGGCAGGATTGCGTACATTGTCCAGTTCTTGGGGGACAAAAACATTGGAGTGGTAAATCATTGTTTTTTTTTGATGAGTTAGGTGTGTGTAAGGTGTTTTGAGTGTGACAAATATTTTTATATGTTCTATTTTTAGTTTGGAACCAAAAAGGTGTTGCCGCATGCAATTTCACACGTGTTGCAGCAAAACCAGCCAAGCAAGGTGAAGACGCCGCTCCTTAGCCCGGGGCACTTAAAGGCCATACTTCACATCCATTGAAATATAAACAGTGTCCTTTGTTTTCCAGGAAGTGCTTTTAGATTTGCAGGAAACGCACGTCACGTGTACGGAGAGCAGCAGTAATCTGGTGGGTCTCCACACTGCGTTTATTGCAAAGATTCAGAACCTTTTTTTTCCTCAAAATGAATCATGTTGAATGTCTGTAGATGGTGTGTCAACATCACTATCCAGATATATCGTGTGTTGGGAGGTACCCTCAGCCAGATTACACGATATTGGGCTTCTGTGTCGTGTAAGTATGACATGGTTTATAAATGTTTGAATGCTGGTGTGAAAGTTTCCCCAAACTGAGTCGAATTATGCCACGTAGGTCTGCTGAGCAGCAACAGGTGGATAGATTTAATGCTGAAAGATGTACCAAGACTTATTTGTGAATCACTTGCACTGATATCAAACATAACAGGAAGAAAAAGAAAAAAACATGCTTGATATCGTTCTCAGAAACAGACCAGCAGAAATTCCATCCAGGTCCCCGACCAACTTCAACTGTGTGGTGCTCAAAGCTGCCAGCAGTAAGGAATGCGACGACATCATTTGCCGCATAGGTAAGACAATAGGTGCCTACTTCACAGAAATCAGAATTAAAGTTAAGACGTGTTACGTTTCTCTTGCAAAGTTAAGACGTGTTACGGTTCTCTTGCAGCCACCGGTTTCAGACATACAGAGTGGTTTGTATGATGTGTAAATAAACAAGTCAAAACTCAAAAACTGCATCATTAATATATTACACGCACACGAATGTCTACTCATAAAGAACTTTAATAGAAAGACGTGACAATTCTCAATTATTAAAATGTAGCTGCCAGGGTTTTGTTCAATGTTGGAAAACATGTAAAAAGCAGTCCAGAAAAATAAGGGCTGCTCCTTGCACCAAGAGTTGTGTAACAGTAGTCAAAGACAGATGATCTGTTGGGCAAGCTGCATTTTTGTGCCAGAAATGGTCAATGGTGCCAACATGGTTGTGTGTGACACGATCATGGATGGAGGACATGACCCACAAAAACTGGAGGGAGGGGCAGTGATGTATTACATGTAGTAACAATCCACATAACAGGTAAATATTCCTACACAACTACCCATTCGGTTGTGGAATGGTTGATGGCTAAAATACGATACAAAAGTCGTAAACTCAATACCCAAGAAATAATACAAAATAAAAGTCCACAAAAAAAAAAATTGTTAGGTATGATAAATATGATTATTTGTCTTGACATGCCACTGTCAAGAGGTTTAGGCCCTTTCTCCCCTTATCCTACGGGCCAGCTGGATGTCTTTGGGCATGATGGTGACACGCTTGGCGTGGATGGCGCACAGATTGGTGTCCTCAAACAAACCCACCAGGTAAGCTTCACTGGCCTCCTATTAGGAACCAACAGCATAATATTAGCTCCAAATAAACCGCACACAATCCAGGTAGAGTTTTGTTTATATTTACCTGAAGAGCACCGATGGCAGCACTTTGGAAGCGGAGATCAGTCTTGAAGTCCTGGGCAATCTCTCTCACCAGGCGCTGGAAGGGCAGCTTGCGGATGAGCAACTCGGTGGACTTCTGGTAGCGACGAATCTCCCTCAGAGCCACAGTGCCCGGCCTGAGGAGAAGCAAGCATGTGTTTTTTTTCCCCACCACTTTTTTTTTGTAGCAAGTGTCGTGGTGACGTCATGCTTCAACGTTGAAACCCACCTGTAGCGATGGGGCTTCTTCACTCCTCCTGTAGAGGGCGCACTCTTCCTGGCTGCCTTGGTAGCGAGCTGCTTCCTTGGCGCCTTTCCTCCAGTGGATTTACGGGCAGTTTGCTTGGTACGAGCCATCACGTATTACCTAAAAGAAAATATTGCACGCGAATTAAGGAGGACTCCAATATACACGCACCCGGGAACTAAAATAAAACACGCGAAGCGGTTAGCGAGCCGCGTCAACACGTTAGCTTAGCCCACAACAAGGCGCCCATCCCCCTACCGCCGAACAACTAGGAGGTGTCTCCTTTAGCGTCCGCACGCTAAACAGCCGACACACACCGCAACTAAAATAAAACTTAGCATGTTAACAAAGCCTTCTCAAGTCGACAAAACTCATTCTACATTCGCCAAAAGTCATCACGTAACAGATAATTTCGGACATAGGTACGTTACTAAAGAAGGAGCCGGCTGTAGTCTGGCTCACAAGAGGCCGCCCGCCATCAGCCTCCGTTTGTCGTCTTCGCCATTTTCGCTCTCATTTCACCCCCACTCGACATTGGGAATACATTTTATAGCGCTTAAGTTCACCGGTAATTAACGGCACACAAATCGTATTTTCACAACAGATGAATGGTTAGTAACTACATCCATCTTACCAACGAGACACAACGGACGATCGATCGGTAACAGTTTTAGTTTCGAAACGCAATATAAACGAGCCCATTGTCCTTGTAAGGGCTAACAAGACGCCCCCTACGTCAATCTAACAACACTGTGATACAAATCGTCTACATCACGTGAAAGAAATGAAATCATTTTCGCATAATAAACGAATAAAAAAAACAAGTACAAATTATTTACCTTGGTGACGTTGCTGTTGTTGTGAAGCGAATGATCTGCGGAGACAGCAGGTCTCGGTCACCTGAAAACGATCAATGCTGGTTGGAAGCTTGAGGCCAAGTATTAATAGTGTGGCATGACGTCATATTGCACAGCCACTTTCATGTCCTTTGGTACGTGTGGAGCACGGTCACACGATCGAGCCAATGAGATGCGCCAAACAAAATCGATCCGGTGCGCTACCGCACGATATTATTTTTTGTATTCATATGTTCCTCGTTTTCTCAAAATGGTGTGTGATAATAATCACGGGCTTGTACATTAATTGCATGACCCACTGCCCTGCTTCCCGACATCAAAGACATGAGAAATATAATTTATTCACTCAAGACATATCACCGTGTCATTTGATGCAATTAAATGACCACTAGCGTTACTTTCTTTCATCTGAAATATCATCTTGCTTCATTTTCAAAATGATTTGGGGATAAATCTCAGAATTCCAACAATTCCAAAATGTACTGAACGCGGCATTTGTACTACTTCCTCCATTCTCGCGCAAACTCACATCGTAGTAGAATGCGGATTTCTATGCTAACCTAACGAGCTAGCTCATTTTGCTAAAAACAAGCTCATTGTTGGGACTTTTCCGAGCGTTAAAATGTCTAAAACGCACCCGCTGTCCCCGTTATCTTCAGCGGGGACGACTACCGGGGGTCATTCGTCGTCCTCGTCGTCTTCCTCCGCCGGGGGCTCGACATCTCCCGCAACCGTGTTGAACGTTCAGCCCGAAAAACCTCAACACTACACGTACGTAACGGTAGTCTATTAGCCGATAAGCTAGCTAAATGTACACAAACTCACGTGCAATCGGGTTCGCATACTGATCAATCGATTGAGTCAATTTGGAAGAGGCTTCCTAAATACGGGATTCTTTTGACTATAAACCAGATCTTTAAGTCATGATAAAATTGTGATTAATTCAATTTTTTTGTAAATAAGTGATGAGTCTTTTAATGCAACGTGAAATTGTAAAGATTTAGTCTCCAGAGAAAACAGAAAACACAGGTAGGGAATAGAGAATAAAACTGTATTGTTAGATAATGAACGATCGCTTTATAAACATGAATTTCTGTCGTGTTTAATTCTGCTTTTTGCAGCTACCTAAAGGAGTTCAGAACGGAGCAGTGTCCCCTGTTTGTCCAGCATAAATGTACACAACACCGGCCTTTTTCCTGTTTCCACTGGCACTTCTTGAACCAGCGGCGCCGCAGGCCCATGCGCAAACGGGACGGGACATTCAACTACAGCCCAGATATTTATTGTACCAAATATGACGAGGGAACAGGAACCTGTCCTGATGGAGATGAGTAAGAGAAAAACAAGAACACGTAACAGTTTGGAATTCAGTTTTTAAGAGTGAAACTTGATTATTTTGTTCAGTTACTATTATGCAACATCAAACACGATGCAAAATGCCAGGCAGGTTGGTTACTGGGGGTTGCGACATAGGACGTTTCGAGGTTATGAACCCCCCGCCCCCCCCAAAAAAAATGCATTGCTGCATGCTTGCGTACAGCGGTGTAGTAATGCACCTTCGTCCAGTGGCACAAGATTGCATGCCCTGTAACTGCCATACTTAATCGTTTTCATTTGATTGTTTGACATTGATATCTTAAAAGTGTTTTTAATCCTAGTATTCACAGTACTGTATTTATAACGTTTGTGTAGGTTAGTGATGGACTCCAGTGGATCCTGACTTGCGGGCTGAGAGACACCTCTTCACTTTGGGCATGTGCTTTTGAGATGCAAACTGCCAGTTGTCATCAAAATAACAAGCTTTTAAATTACACAGGGAGATGACCCTGAATTGGGGTGTGGGTGGGGGGGGGGGGGTTGCTTCTGTTTTTCTTGTTACACTCCTAACTCTGAAAAGAACCTTTTTGTCTCGCACAACGACCTAAGCTATCTGCCAATACATCCGTGAGCTATTCAGGATGTGAAGTGCTGTCGTAATTGAGGACAGTTTTGAAAGAAATAGCAGCTGACGTGTCATCATCTGGGCATTACCATCTGAACATTGCCCGTCACTCCTGTGTATTTTATTTTTATTTATTTATTTTTTACAAAGCAATCTAAAGGTGGTGATTACGGGACAAAAAGAATGTAAATGTCTTTGAAAACACATTATACTGACGTGCTAATTGCCCACATGTTTTTAGAGCTCGTGTGAGATCAACTTTTCGATTCATCCCCCATCTCCCCCTAAAAATGTAAAATTTTGAAAAATGTTTTTTTTTTGCGCCCACCAGATGTGCATTTCTACATCGGACAGCTGGCGACACGGAGCGGCGGTATCACCTGCGCTACTATAAGACGGGGTCTTGCATTCACGAAACGGATACGAGAGGCCACTGCAGCAAGAACGGCTGCCATTGTGCCTTTGCTCATGGGTCACATGACCTGCGCAGCCCTGTGTATGATGTGAGGTGTGGAAAATGAACGTTTAAATTATCGTCTTAATGCGATACTGGGGTTCACACGGTATACTTTTCACAGGGAAGTGCAGGTCATCGAGTGTCAAGGTGGCACGGGACCGTCAGAAGGAGCTGGAGGAGACGGCCAGTCGGGCCAGGCGGCGAGCACGGCCCTCATAGAGAAGATTCTGAGTGAGGAACCACGCTGGCAAGGTACATCGAACAGAAATATCAGTATCAATCCATATCGCCTCATTGTACCAATTTCTTGTCTCCTCAGATAACAACTATGTGTTGTCCCACTACAAGACCGAGCTGTGCAAGAAGCCGCCTCGCCTGTGTCGTCAGGGTTACGCCTGCCCGTATTATCATAACAGCAAAGACAGGCGGCGCAGCCCGCATAAGCACAAATACAGGTGCGCTTCAGTCCCAATACCAAAAGATGACTTTTCTCATCTGCTTGAAAATGACGGCCCCCGCCCGCTGTTTACGCCCGCAGAGCTTTGCCATGTCCGGCGGTGAAACTGAGCGAGGAGTGGGGTGATCCGAGCAAATGTGAGTGCGCGGAGGGATGCCAGTATTGCCACACGAGAACGGAACAACAGTTCCATCCCGAGGTCTGTCTCCAAATCAAAGCTTACCTCGAGCGAAAACCGCAAACTCATAACAGTGGCGTCGAACGTATCCGCAGATCTACAAGTCCACAAAGTGCAATGACATGCAGCAGTGCGGCAGCTGTCCCAGAGGACCCTTTTGTGCTTTTGCTCACGTTGAAAGTAAGTCGCCACCACAAATCACCCAGGGGTTCTTAAAAATATACTAATCTACTTTCAAATTTTAAATACATTCCAGAAGCATTTGTCTTCGAGGAGTCCTTCTCCTCACCCAGATCCCCCCCACCTCTCCGTCCGCCAGATCCCGGCTCCGCAGAGGAGTTTGAGTCAAGAGGACATAATAAGGGGCTCGGTCAGGTCGGTGACCCCTTCTCGCCCTCTGCCGGGTCACATGTTGCGGAGCAAGGCCTGCTGGGTAATGTGCTGAGTCTTTGCGAGGACATGAGGGGAGCAGCTGAGCCGTTGTCTTCTTGGGTGGGAGAGGGAGGCTATGGCAGGGCGCCCGGATTTGAGAGGGAGGATCAGGTGAGATGAATGAAAAGGGGGCGGGGCAAAGTGGGTGTTTTGTGTGTGCAGTGGTGGCATATTTTTTGTTGTGCTTTCAGGCGAAACAGAGGAGTTTTGCCCTCGAGCAGCGCAGCAGAGAAGCGGCATCGGCGCAAAGCAGTAAACAGGTAGAATTTCCGGCACGCGTTTTTACAATAGCAACGCGCACAGTTGAACCTCAAAAGCTGACCACAATCCATTGTCTGACGTTATTTGACCTACAATGTTTGTATTTGAAGGATTTTAGCCCATAGGAAGCATCCATCCATGATAGTAGTTTCATGCACGGTCATGCAACAAATCACTCTTGGAAGACAATGAAAAGTAAATTGTCTCTAGGTTCCATTTAAGGTTCAACACGTTTTGTAAAGACAAGATTGATATTATTTTTCTTCCAAATATAACATTTTATCTCCTTCAGGATCTGCTGGTATTTCTGCCAGTAGGCAGTCCTTTAAGTCTGTCATCCAGCATCCCCTCCAGTCTGGCCGCGACCCCACCCAGCCCTGCGCCCCTCGGACCCCCGGGGGCCGGCATCGCATCAGGCATGAATGCCAATGCCTTGCCCTTCTACCCCACCAGTGAGACAGTGGAGTCTGTTGTTGGTAAGTCAAGATGTGCTGATTTTTATTTTTTTGGGGGGGTGGTGGGGGGGGGG